TTGTGCCACAAACCCAATAGAGAACCCGCTGGCCTCGGCAGACTGCCCTTGCGGACCTACGCGGAGGCCAAGCAGTCTTACTTCAAAGTAAATGGTTTTACTTGTTTTGGTAAGCAATGGAGAATCCTTGAGGGAGAAGTAGAGGGGCAAATCTGTAGTTAGAAGACAGTCGACATTCCCATCTCTTGTGGACCCTTTCCAGTGCCCCTTGTTGACAACGGATAGCTTCCCACCAAACCTTGGTGACTCTGCAGGGTTCAGATCGTATTCCCGAGCAGATCTGTACAGAGCATCAGATGGCTTGAGGGGAGTATTCAGGGGAAGCTTATCACAAAAGGCGTGGGCACGCTCTGCATCGTCGCAGGAGGCATTTCCTGTACTTGAGGAGAAAAACCCAGCGATCGGTGGCGGTGGAAGCGTTGCTGTATCGGGCACAGTCCCCTGCCAGTTGTGATGAAGGAGGGGCCCTTGACTTCCGGTTCCAGTAGTTGCAGAAGCAGAATATGGCGGGGGTGAGGCAATAGGCATCGTATACTCAGATTGTGCTTTTTGAGACGTGGCTTTAGAGTGGTCCGCCATTTGCAGCGTAAAAAAACAATTAGACCAATATAGACAGGAAGAAGTGCCCTTAACGATCGCGTTTGAGACTCATATATATTGATCCTGTTGAATCTATATCGTATGTTGGAGTGACAGCTGTTGATATAGGATAGCAGGCTAATGTAGGGATGCTCTATTGGGGCGGGTGTCGCGCGGGTGGCTATGCTGAACCATGAGCTCACACTTTGCTGATTTCTGGTCAGAAAGCAAGATTAAGCCAAAGGAGTAGAATGGATGCACCGTAGTGCTCACAAAGAGTAGATAAGCATTGATATCTTTTCGCTTAAGCATGGAACACAGTTACACTGTCCTTTCTAACATATGTTTATATATATAATTACTGCAAGTATATATAGTTGGACATGCAAACATTTCTGCTTAGGTGGTTGTTGGACCCTTCCCGTTACTAAATCTAAATAACCCCGTGGAGCCAGCCACATTGGGACTGCGGGGAGGGATTTGTTGTGGATGAAGGGAGACAGACGCACACTATGTTGGGATCGATATGAAAGAAAAAGCGGTATGAGTAGGCAAAGTGAGGAGGAAATCGGTCTTGGATTTTTATGATTGATAACTAATTAAGGGATTGTTGTTTCAGATGCAACCTTTTATGTATAGTCCAGAAGAGGCATAGGCTCGACAATGCCTGCCCTACCCCCCACCGTGCCTGACTACAGCAACCAGCTGAGGTTTCAGTAGACCCAGTAGTAAGCTCGTTTAATTCCTGTTTGCCTTGCGCCTAAGTGCTCTTGCTTACTGCCCGCCCAGTGTCCAGTTGAATGTGCGACCGTGACCCTTCACTTGGTTTGGGTTATGACTGCTTGATCGATGGCCCCTTGCCGACTTACCTGTTTGCTTGGCCTGCGCAATGATCTTCTTTCAAGTTCATGCACATGCTCATCTCTTTGATTCTTGACTTAGTACCTGGTAGAGCTGCTCAGATGCATAAAGATGTGCTCTAGAGTGCTCGAGCGGTCCTGAATCTCATCCGACCATATTGCTGGCTACCAATTAGTCACTGTTGTTACACAACACATACACTCACTATATACATGCGCTCGAAGCTGCAGTCATCCTTTTTCAATCGAGGACAATCCTAGTCTCCCATCAACTATTTCTCGAGTCACAGTCGGCCACTGGTGATGATAAATCTTCACGGGCAATGAGCATTGGCATGAATCTCCCCGCGAGAGACATCATATGGCGGTCGAGATGGACAGCAGTGAAAAAGGACATACTAAAAGACAGCGCAGGTCTTCTCTCTCACAGCAGCTACAACGGGTCTTCCATTTGGATAAACATGTGAATGTAAGGGTTTTTCTTTTTTCTCTCTCTTTCTTTCTTTCTTTCTTTGGTCATCGTCCTAGCGAGTTGCCAATACACCAGTTTCCTCCTACCTATCTTAACCCTCTGCCTTGTTGGGACAAGATGTGCCTCATGTTAATACCTCAAAGAAGGAAAGTCGCAGGCGATCGTCGGATGCGATAGAGGCTCGAACCATAAGGACCCCTGGGCAAGAGCGAGAGGGCACACAGCAGACAGACGAGGTTGGCCTAGGCGGCAGTACAAGTCGATCCGCATCATTCATAAGAACAAATGAAGATGTCGGTCCACGTATAGCCCAAGGTCCAACCTTTCCGGGTTTGGTTGACAATGAGCTCGTGAAGTCATCAGCACACACTATCAGCCAGGGAACATTGCAACTGTCCGACTCATCCTCCCTCATGGATATGTCTTCTGGCAAGCACGGGTCATTCAGCCCCGCTACTTCGATCAACAAGGCGACGGACAGGAATGAAAGAAGGGCTACAAGGCGCCTAGAAGCAGAAAGATTGGAGCTTGAGAAGAGGTTTCTTAACCTCGAAAAGAGCGAGCAACGCCATGGGATAAGCCAACAGCAGAAAGAGTCCCGGCGCCTTACCAAAAAACAACCTATAAGAAGCTCAAGTAGGGCATCGAGTGTGAGTGAAGATGAGTCTCGCCCATCACGCCGATTCTCTTCTCTCTTCTCAAGTTCGAGGCGAGGTTCCCGGTCACGTTCAAATTCCCTAAGCAGAAGTGACGGAGATTATCCAACTCAACTACCAGCTGACGCCGAAAAATCACAATCTGGACTGCACTCGGGACCGCACGCAGCTCGATCTCACATTGCTGTGAAGATGCCTAATCGCTTCGGCGCCGTGATATCCAAAGAGCTCTCCATCAACAACGCGCTGGCCCCATACCAACCTGAGCCTGCGCCCATGCGGGAGCTAATGCCGGCGAATCCTACCAGTACAGAATCCAAGGCAAATGATTCTACCAGGCCTGATCCTCGCAGTATCGAAAACAATTTGTCGCACGAACAAAGCCCTGTACAAGACCACCTCGTTACCATCGACAGTAACGCGCATAGGGTAGCATCAAAAGCCCCTAGTCTTCCTGTCCCTACAGACCTGGACCGCTTGTCCTTCGCAGCAACCCTCAACCTTAAAAGTAGGGAGTCTGGCAACGTGAGGTTATCTGGACATCGTCGGTCATTGACGGTGTCTTCCCCGGAACTGCTGAATAAACGGGAAAAGCATACTCGCGGTAGCTACAAAAGTACTCGGATAGCTCGGGTGGCAGCTGATGGTGGAAAGACTTCAAGAAGTTCACTAGGACTGTCATCGACTAACTTACAAGCCAATTCGTTGAGGGCTGCACCGAACAGAACTTCCACGGACCGTTATCTTCAGAGACAGTATAAGAGCTACGTTTCATCACCCCTTACAGTGACCTCAACTGTGGACAGCAGATCCAATCTGTCTTCAAATGCTGAGGAGACTTCAGACACAACAACTTTGCAAGCTCCTATCGAAGATAAATCAAACCCCATGGATTCTATCAAGGCTATAGATCCCAAGTATAAGCGGACACATCCACATGTTACAAGGCGTCTATCCGGGAGATACGAGGATAAAGGCGAAGGAGACCTTGCACAGCCTCACAGTATCGTTGGGAACCCGCAGGAGCGCTCTGTTGTTGGCTACACGTGGGCTAGTCACCATATCCAAACACCTTTGAGCAAGCGCATTCTTACAAACCAAGATGAAGCCCATGCAGTGACATGCCGAGAGCCTGGAGTCGAGAAGTCGGATCCTCGGACTCACAACACAAATGGCAGTCTAACTGATTTAGACGTCTACCAGGCGAAGCATGCAGGTCGGGACGGACACCTAGAATCTCAAGGTACTCCACCGCGTTATAGAACTCAAGCTTGTCAAAACCTAGCCCAGAGCTTTCAGGGTGCTCCTAGGATGCAGAGACCTGAAGCCTGTCATATGCCTTATGAGAGCAAGCTTACACAACGGAGAGGTTCAATTTCGTCAAAATCCGCATCTTCTGAAGAGCCACGATCAGAAGATTACAACACTGCAGACGAAGCCTGCTCATCTATTTCGCTTCCTCGACAGGATGGCATTGCCCCAGCCAGCTTTCCTCACACTGATGACACTGTACCAAGTACATTGGACAATAATGACAACGATGTGTCGCTCAGTGTGGGAGCTTCAACCTCCGATTTATGCAACACGCCGGAAGGGCTAATGAACGGACGCATTGAGCAATTGAGGAATGTACAGACAGTCGGCCCGTTTAAAATGCTCTTTGTCATCTGCTGTCACTGCGGCCATTGGCACGATCTGCCATCGAAAATGCATGCGAAACTCACTTCGCCGAGCACATCTTCAGTCGCCAAAGAGCATAAGCTCTCCACTGACAAGGGTGAACCACGTGCTGGCCAAGAATGTATCGATTCAAAAATACGCAAAAATAGTTTTTCAGGACAGTGTGCCGATTCATCAAGTACCAAGTCTCCTGCCTCTGCCGCAAGGTCTCAATCTCCGACTACGGTGCAGTGCTGCTGGTGTAATCATCGCATGGATAGGTCATGTTGCCAAGGATGGACAACCATAATTCGCATGTGTGAAAGGCATCACTAGCAGTGTGCCAGAGAAATTGTCGTCTGTATGGTGACCGGGAATTGATTGTGAATTCTACTGTGGAAGTGGCCATTGGGGTGGAAACATGCATTGCAGTTATGGTTGGCTTATTAGAACGCACTTCAGCTTTGCTGGGGGATATATTCTTGGATTCCGGACGAGGAAATGGTGAACCACATTTGTAAACAAAAGACTGAAAATGAAGAATGAAAAGGACAAAACTCGCCGCTGAGGACCTCGGAGATATCGACATCCATAACTAGTATAATTTGTAGTCAATGGTTGCATAGATAAAGATAGAGCAGCTTGATAAGTGGATTAGTGGATAAGCCAGGGGCGTGGCAGGTGCCGGAATGCCGATAGTAGTTCTACCACTACTACTAGTACTTTTTACCCCGAGCCCGCATGAACGGCGAATCGTGGGCAAGTCCTTTCTACCAAGGTACCACCCGCCGTAGTACCTAGACTCTTCGCCGCCCTCCTTCTTTTACCCCTTTACCATCCAGCGGGCCATTAGATGGCTTGTTTCTGGCGCCATGGTGCGTCAAAGGAACCTCTCAAATGCTTCGTCGACTGCTTCTCTCCCCGAAAGTAATCAGGTATGTATGGCGGCGCTATCCCAGCGTGTTGATCTTTCTCCGCCATCAGTGCGCCCGCTTCCATCATAAGGCCCCTTTCAATTAGCGGCATCTAATACCATGTAGGAGCTCGAGAGCATGTATGACTATCTGGCCAAGGTCATTCTTCTAGGGCCGAGCGGGGCCGGAAAGTAAGTCCTGATACTGAAGATAATGATCCGTTACACCTCCTCAGGCTTCGTCGGTCACTAATATCTTCGCTATTGCAGGTCTTGCGTGTTACACCGATTTGTGAAGAGCGAATGTACGGTACCCTATCTCTGATTGGAACTCCATCACCCCCATCTACAAACCTATGCCAATCCTCCCGGTTTCCCACGCTCATCCCGGAGTTGGACGCGTTCGCTAATATGCCTTTCTACCTTAGGGCGAGTGCTGTCATCTCAAACGATTGGGGTTGAATTCTCCTCGAAGATCGTCAAATTAGGCGCCGGGCCGCGACGAACACGGATCAAATTGCAGCTGTGGGATACCGCTGGAACGGAGAGGTTTCGATCTGTCTCCAGGTCGTATTACCGAGGAGCTGCAGGGGCCATTCTCATCTATGATATAACATCTCACGCGTCATTTGTCTCTCTTCCCACGTTCCTCATGGATGCACGTGCACTTGCTTCCCCCAATCTGAGCGTCCTACTAGCCGGTAATAAGTCAGACCTTGCCTCCGACTCCGTACCACCTTGCGATTCCCTTGATGACAATGCACGCCCACCTCCCACACCGTCTAGTACATCCAGCAAGGTGTCTTTTCCATTTGGATCAAGCGGCGGCTCCGTTCGCTCAAACTATGATACCACAACGAGAATGACGGCCACGCATGCACCTCACGGTCGTGAGGTCAGTACCGAAGAGACTTCGCACTGGGCGGCTAAGTCCAACATTCCTGTTGCAGTCGAGATCTCAGCTCTCACGGGTGAGGGCGTAGAAGAGCTCTTCAACCGGCTGGCCCGGATAATTCTCACAAAGATCGAGTTGGGCGAGATTGACCCGGACGACCCCCAAAGCGGGATTCAATACGGTGACGGGGCTCTCTATGGCCATGGCACGAGCGATGGTTCCAGCATTCGAAGTCGCATGTCGCTCGACGACGGTGCTGTCCAATTACATCACAGACATCCAAGAAAGAATACTACTAACAATTGGAAGACTGGCATGAGGGAATGGGAAGATGTATTTCGCTTGAGCGATTCGCACCACAGGAGAGGTCGCGGCTGCTGCTAGTATTCTTTGGCCCGAGTTACCACTAATCAACAGCTTTGTTATTCGCGGTTTTCCTTTTATATGTTTTCCGGTGATTACACCCGACACTGGTCTCAACCTGCCACGATAAACTGAGCTCACCGCATCTTGACTTTGCTTACAGAACGGCTGGTCGGTTGTCCAAATTATGTCGTGGAAGAGCACTGCGTCATTTCGGCCGAAAGCTTACTTTTTTGACCTCTCATCATTTGTGAGGTGACTGAAGGCCAGTAGGCTTGGTTCGTGCAGCATGATACCCCCTATAGTCAAGCACTGTGACTACCATGTTCAATAAACGAGTTATTTGAGTTTGAATATGCATTCCAGAAGTTGATTGTTATCAACTGTTATTGCGGTGTGTTATCCAGCCAGCTATCCTCAAGAGCTTTGTTACGACTACTTCGGACGCACAGGCTTGTGATGGCCAAGTCATATCCAGCACAAACTGAAGCGGGGATATAGTTTCTCAAGATCACGAGAGATATGTTAAATGATCATATTTTCTGGACCGAACCAATTGCCTAAAGATGCCTCGCAGTTGACATCCTGTGATCCAAAAGACCTCAAACCTGGAAGCCATCTGATAGGGAAGTAGAAAGCGTGAGGAATAACTGACGTCCAAAGCAACTGGTTGCAGTCTGCTATGTTGCTAATGTCTGACGAATTTTATGAATCGACACCACCAATAAGCGTTTTGATGCCCTTTCCAGCTTTAACCTCTTCCAATGCTCGCTCGGCATCCTCGAACTTGACAACACCCGTGATCAGTTCCTTCACGTTCACCTTTCCACTACCTACTAAGGAGACTGCAAGCTTGTAGTCACCACTCCCATAACGGAAGCTGCCCTTGACGTTCAGTTCTTTGGTGCAAGCCGCCATTATTGGGAAGGTAATTTCGCTTCTGCCCATACCGCCCTGGACATATGTTCCCCCAGCACGCAGAACGTGAATGCCTGTATGAACCGAGGGCTCCGCTCCTGAAGCGTCAATGGCAACATCCGCACCCGAGCCTAGATCATTTTCGGCTATTAACCGTTGAGCGTTCTCCAACGCCGCGGCTTTAGCTGGCTCAAACGTGGCCGTTGCTGCGTACTTCTTGGCAAACTCTAGCCTACCCTTCTGAATATCAACCGCGATAACCTTGGACGCACCGTAAGCCTTCGCCACAGCACAGCAGAGAAGTCCAACCGGGCCAGCACCGAAGACTACCACTGATTGACCCGGGTTTATCTCAGCCTGTTTGACGATATGGACGGCAACACTAAGGGGCTCCATAAGTGTACCCTCCTGTAGGGTGATGCTTTCAGGAAGCTTAAAGCAAAAGTCCTCGGGCAGGACGTAATACTTGGCCAGGGTACCGTCGTATGGAGGTGTCGCTGCGAAAGCCATTTTCACACAGAGATTATATTTTCCCGCCTTGCATGGTTCGCAGCGGCGACATGGGATTCCTGGCTCGATCGCAACGCAGTCTCCTACCTTTAGACTGGTAACGGCAGAGCCAACCTTGCTGACAACACCGGAAGATTCGTGTCCCAGGACCATAGGATCCTTGACAACAAATTGGCCAATGGAGCCATGTTCCCAATAATGAACCTTGAGGATGAAAATATCCGACATGTCAGCTAGGCAGGCCTTCAATTCTTTTGGTGATACGCACATCACTACCACATATACCAGTGAACCTGACGTTCACCAGTACGTCGTGAGGATCTTTTATCTCTGGGATTGGCCGGTCTTCGAACTTGACGCGGTGTATTCCCTCAAGAACGAAGGAAAGATTCTGGTAGTGATTGAGGTCATTAGCGATCATTCAAATTGTGCCACTTTGAGTTCATGGTGGGTGTGATGAGCCACCATTGACCCTATATAATGACTGTTTAATGCACTTACCTGAGCGCTGGTATTCTGGGTACTCATGATGGGCGAAAAGAAAGAGGCACACGGGAGAAAGCCAGCTGACTCGAGATGTTGTAGGAGGTAAGGCTCTTGAGCTGGAGCATGGCTCGAAAAACGAATATCGTCACTGAACTTTCAGCTTTCGAAATTTACGCTTTCTTTCCTTATTTATCCTTTTTCCCTCGGTCTTTTCTTAGTTTGCGGATATGTCGCCCTAGGGATTTTGTTGCTTCTGGATCCATCTTGGGTAGCTTGGTAGGAGGTATCGACGTAAGTACTAAGGTATGGGGTAGAGAGGGCGGGGTGGAAAGCCCTTCATTGGTCCAGAATTAACCGGCGCAGCGCTAAATTTACCCGGAGAAGGCAGCTGACCGGCTATATTGATTAGTAAGTATTTCAGGTGGTATAGTTAATACTAAAAAGTAGTTAGTTAACCTAGCCAAATATTCTCTTCAATGCTCGGGTGTAGGATAATTAGCAAACTAATTTCTACCACGGGCTGGTCAATGGACTGGTTTACTCGGTCCATAATCATCCAATGATTGAGGGAAATGCGCATACTCAGTACACTCCGATAATCATGGTTGGCACAATCTAACGGGCTGGCTGACGTGTAGTAGATTGACTTACAAGTAGTACGAAGTAGTACCGGGCATTCAAATGAAGGACTGCGTGTAGGTAGTCCTATTGGTATGTAATGAAGCGAGTATGGCCTATTCCGACTATATTGCAACTCAATACATTATTCGGGTAGCTTAATAAAAGAATGCCTTGCATACGGGGTAGTAGAGAGTGCCTTGGCTGGTAAACTATCTGATTAGGAACTACTTTTTTAGCATTATGTAGATGGGCTACCGCAGCGCAGCCTTACCGCATTAAGCTTAGTCCAACTTAGCTAGCAATCATTCCAATCCACCATCTGTTCTACCATCCATCCATCAATCCGGATACTCATGTTCCTCCGTCTCCCAGTACCGTCGGCCAGCCTCTCCCTCAGTTCTCATAGTTTGCGCCTGGCTTGATCACGGATCCATCTGTCTACCACGCGATGGTTTCACCTTAGAAGATTACTGTCTTAACAAGGGTCCCTCTTCCATGCTGTCTGTCGCCAGTTACCCCCATCATGATTAGAGCCGATTCTTACCTTCGTTCGCGGGGCGCCATGCGCGTTCTTCTCCCAAGGGCCGGGTGCTACTTCAGCCATCCGCTACGCTTAGGATCTCAGAGGAGAGGCTTGCAATGGTCCGTTCCCCATCGCGCCGATGAGAAACCTCAGTCTTTCAAGCATCAATTATACGAAAGTACACAGCAACGCCTCAAACGTGAGCGTGCTGAACAGGAACGATATTCACAGTTCCAGTCCCAATCCCAGGGCAGTCGCAACGCGGCGTTGATGTTCGGTATGTCTAATGCCCGAGGCCCGCTCCATAAACATCTCTGGAGCTCTCCAGACCTTGATTGCTGATGTTATTGTGCTAGCATTGGCCTTCTTCTGCACTGGGGCTTACTATCTGGGCTCTTTGAAACCTGCTGAGCTTCCCACTTCGTCAACAAGCCCCGTTTATGATATACAGTCACCGCGACATAACGTTTCTCCCTCAAATTTACAGGCTGCTTGGGCGGACTTCGTTGAGATTTTAGGGAAAGACAATGTTTCCACACAAAACGCCGAATTGGATATGCATGCGGGTTCCGACTGGTCTTCCTACGCCCTGAAAGAGGGAGAAAGACCGTTCCTCATCCTCTACCCGTCTACTACGGAGGAGGTATCTCGGATCATGAAGGTTTGCCATCAACGGTTAATTCCAGTAACCCCCTACTCAGGCGGTACCAGCTTGGAGGGCCATTTTGCGCCCACGCGGGGTGGTGTATGCATTGATTTCCGTCGTATGGATCGTATTCTGGGTCTCCATAAGCAGGATCTAGACGTCGTGGTCCAGCCTGCCGTTGGCTGGGAGGAGCTGAATGAACATATCGCTCAGGATGGTCTTTTCTTTCCCCCGGATCCGGGCCCTGGTGCTATGATCGGTGGCATGATTGGCACGGGCTGTTCGGGAACCAATGCCTACAGGTATGGCACTATGCGTGATTGGGTGCTTTCTTTGACGGTAGTGCTTGCCGACGGGACCATCATTAAAACCAGGCAACGTCCACGGAAGTCGAGCGCTGGTTACGATCTTACAAGACTCTTTATTGGGAGTGAAGGCACCCTCGGTCTGGTGACCGAGGCTACGTTGAAGCTGACGGTCAAACCTAAGAGCCAAAATGTCGCAGTCGCGAGTTTCTCGACAATACAGAATGCAGCAGAGTGCGTGACTCGCGTGGTGGAAGAAGGCATCCCAGTAGCTGGGGTCGAGATCTTGGATGACGTGCAGATGAAGTGCATCAACGAAAGTCAGTCCACCAGCCGACACTGGAAGGAAGCGCCTACCATATTTTTCAAGTTTGCGGGTACGCCTGTTGGCGTCAAGGAGCAAATAAACATGGTGCAGAATATTGTTTCTTCTACTGCGGGTCGGTCCTTCGAGTTTGCCCGAGGTGAGAGCGAAATGCAAGAACTCTGGAGCGCCCGGAAACAGGCACTTTGGAGCGTTATGTCTATGAGGCGAGGTCCTGAAGACCACGTTTGGACGACTGATGTAGCTGTCCCTATAAGCAAATTACCCGAAATCATCGAGGCCACCAAACAAGACATGACTGAAAGTGGGTTGTTGGCGGGAATGTGCGGTCATGTCGGAGATGGCAATTTTCATGGTATGGATACCTGCCTTTCAATACCCCCATGCCAATTGGAATGAGCTCTAACGCGCGGCAGCGATAATCCTCTTCAATAAAGACGAGAAAGCAACAGCCGAGGCTGTGGTTCATCGGATGGTAAAGCGGGCTGTTGAACTAGAAGGTACAGTTACTGGCGAGCACGGAGTTGGTCTCGTCAAGCGGGATTACCTGCAGCATGAACTAGGGGAGTCTACAGTGGATGCTATGCGCCGGGTGAGTAGCCATACATCCATGTTCCGCCATAACACATGAAACTCGTACTAATGCAGGCGTTCTACGCCCCGTAGCTCAAATTAGCTTACGACCCCCTTTGCTTGCTCAACTGCGATAAAGTTGTGCGGGTTGAGCCACCGGCGCCAGGTGAAGTTAAGGAATGGTAAGCACCCAAGTCAATCTCTTGATAAGCCAATATCTACTTGGTTTCAGATAGATACGCATATAGCATGGTAGTGGACAGATAAACATCCCATCTTGGCCTCAGTACTATCGTCTATTGTCTTCTGCCACCTTCGCTAAGAAGAGAGAGCGCGCGTGCGAAAGAGAAAGAGAGGGATTGAGGGACGGTTGCTTTCTGGCCTAAATATACT